AGAGCATGTCTCAGGGGTAAATTGTGCTGTGAGGAGGCTCTCTGCTTTCCAAACACCGTACCAACAGCACAGCTGGATAAACATTGATGCAGAGCCAGGATAACTATAAACTTTTGCTCCCCTGCTTTTATTTCACTTATTAGTACTATTATCGTTATAGGACGACTTAACAGAAAAACCCCATCTGCAAATGTTCATTGCGTTGCGAGATACAATTAGATTGTACTGTATTTTCCACTCCAGATTGGGGCTACATTCAATTACATGTATAGTCTTTGCAAGAAAACACCGGAGCCAAAACTGTCTTTCAAACTGAAAACAGACCAAACTCACCCCCAGTTTGTTACACAAACATAACTGTCTCTCAGTCTGCATCCTTCACTGACAGAGCCTATCTCCCTCAGCACATCTCTCCACAACCAAGCGCCAGCCCTTTATCTCTATCAATCTAGCGGCACCACGCTGTGTACACAGTGTCAGCATCACATCTCATCTTTCAAATTCAATGATACAGTTGAAATGGAGAGACTTACAGAGAGTCTCCCTCTCTGTAAGACACCCTTGTGACTTCTCAATCCTCAGTCATCTCTCAAGCCCTCTATAGCATATCTTGCAACAGATACCTATCTCGATTGTTGTTAACAGCTACTCCTGGTATGCCTTTAAAAATATCCCACTGCTCTTTCATACCTTAACCCTCCACTAATTCTACAGCACAGAAAACCAGTGTGAAAATTCACACCAAAAAATATTTCACTATTCATGTTTAAGATAAGTGAAAAACAGCATATAAGCTGAGTAAGCCAGGAAGAAGATCCATCAGAGGAAATAATGTTTGTATGGAAAACTGAGGTCTGGCAGAGATTCAGCTCCCCCAGTCTGGGCTGGACCTGCTCCTCAGCCTGGGAAAGAAACAAGCAATGCACTTTCTGGGACCAGCTTCCATTCCGCGAGCCAGACTCTTCCTCACAAGCTTTTCTAATTATGCATGTCTTTGTCAGGCTGTCAGGGCAGTCTGTGTTTTTCTCCCCTGAGTGGAAGGCAAACAATCCTGCTGGTCAGCTGGGACTGGTCTGGGAGGGGCAGCTATTCAGAGCAGCTCAGCCCAGCTGTGAACCATCACAATAACTAGAGCTGGGAGGACACAGTATCAGCAGATGGGGGTATAGCTCAGGGGTAGAGCATTTGACTGCAGATCAAGAGGTCCCCGGTTCAAATCCGGGTGCCCCCTCATGATTTTTAATTTTTACTTCAACTGCAATTAAAATACAAATGCAAACTGGGTAAGTATATACTTTCTCAGAGAAAATAATTCAGACACTTTGGAAGGAGCACTTCAGACAGATATGCTTATGTACAAGAAGAGCGATCCCTCTGAAAAAGTTGTTAATCCTTTTGATGAAAAAAAATAAGTGTCAGTTCTACACTGTCACTAATGAATGACATTAAGTCTCAATACAGGCAAATTTTTCTCTGAAGGCATCAGGCTCTTCAAAAGGATTTCCACCAGTGGTACTTGAAAGCTCTATTCAATTCTTTTTTTTACAGAGCAGAATTAACATCATCACAGTTCTTAGACAACAACAGTACAACATCAAGATGTGCTTAGGAAATGGTAACTTCAAAAATGCAACTTATGCCGACGGAGGTTTTATAGAAAGGGAAAGCAAATTTCCATACAATCCCAGATAAACCTGAAAAAAACGTTTTCAAGGCTACAGCTTCATGCTGTAGCATGCTGTAACTTGGTGAAGTTACCCAAAACAGGCTTTCAGAAAGGTTTTCTGGGCAGGGTCTGTTATCAAGTCAGGGCAGTAAAGAAAATGCACCAGGCCTGCCATAAAACTTTCGGATTTAGCTGAACAGGAATTAGCGGTACCAACCACTGGAGACCATCAGAAAAGGCTCCCAATGAGAAGAGGTCACATGGCCTGTTGTACTCATTCGGTTTTTATTCCTCTATGTTGTGTAAGCTGGCATTGTGTGAACCCTCCCAAGAGAGGAAAAAGCCTGAGTTGCCAGTCTTTAGGAGGTAACTGGAGAACCCTGAGAAAACCCTCGGAAACACAAGGAGAAAACGCAAGTACCATAGAGACAGGCACTCCCGGCTGCAGTCAGACCCTCGACACAAACCGTGAGTCAGCAGTGCGAACTGCCATGTTACTGTGTCGACGGAAAACAATATTCATCCAGACTTGAGCTGGGAAACCCCTGTTGCCGCCCAAACACCTTGTTTCAAAACATGAAGCACAGACGAAGTACAGAACTGTTTCCACAGAAATACAGAATAATAAATATGTGCACACTATGCAAATTCGACAGAATAAGAGCCAATATCTCTTATTTTGTCGCACGTGCATAGTGTGCACTATTGCAAACGCAATACATTAGACATAAAATATCTCAGGAAACCTGTTACAGTAAAAAATTAATATATCACACCTGAAAAAGAAATAACTACACCTAAAGAAGGCTCAATGGACTACTATACTTAAGAACAGCTTCTACCCTACAGCACTGCACAAAGTGAACTGCAATGCCTCACAATTCAACCCACTGTTGCACTGGGCACTTTTACTGTACTTTCTACTACATATTTATTATTCTGTTTGTATTTATGGCTCTGTATGTTTATTGTCAGTACATACTGTCACTAATTATTATGTATTATTTTGTAATGTACTGTCTATATTGCATGGTCTTATCTGTTGTACTGTGCATGTCCTGAGACATCGGAGCGAGTAAGAACCCCATTGTGTATGTCCACATGGCAAATAAACTCCTCTGTCTAGCCCTGTCGAACCCCATCTATTTTTTCTTTGTAATTAAAACTCTTAAAGAATTAACTTCTGCCTGTTCCTTTGCAGAATTCATGCTAACGTCCCAATTCAGACCATCTCCACATTAATAAATCACCTCTCCAATGTTTGAAGAAGGCAACATTGTAAAGTTTACAATTACAGTCATTATGGCATTTTTAGGGCCCACCTGAGTCAGCCACACCCATCAAAGCGATCTTATCACAGCATCGAGCTGATTCATACAAAAAATGCATTGAATTCTGCACACAGTTTTACCATATTAAGTCTCATGTTCTTTTCCAGTGTGTGTGTGTACAGAGGTGTTTTCAAGTATTACTACCAAACCTATTTCTTAGAATTTCCATTCGTGATGCAATGAGTTTTCCTACCAAGCGCCAAAAAACTTAAGAGGATTCATTCACAAGTAAATTCATTAAGAAGCTTATTAACAGCGATTAGCTCAGCAGCATGGGCCCTGTCTCTCTAATGGGATTGAGTGAAGAGCTGCTGTAATGGGGAAAGAGTCTGTTGTAAAACGGGCTGTAATTCCATTGTGTTTGCGTTTGTGTTACAAGCCCAGTCTGCAGCCCTGTTGCCTGATAACATTAAGGAGAACCCTTCTGCAAACAACAATCCATTCACGGCTCATTAGAGGTCAGGCCTGGGCAGCCAGGAGCAATATGGCAATTCATTCACAGCACACTCACACACCTGGAAGTGCAAAACACACAACATAAACACAATGGCAAATCAAATGCACACCCCCCACCCCCACAGTCTATCAAATCTTTTAATTTATCAATTTCCATCACTGCCTGGCTCATTCCTTTCAGTTCTGCACAGATGTAATAATGTGTGGCTATTGCTAAACTCTTGTCTTCAATGGCAGTGTAAATTATATCAAAAGGAGCACAGTCAGGTCAAACCCCACTCCTATACTCCTTGTGAATCTGTTAAAGAAGCATATTTCTGTCTTATCAATGTAGGCGCTAATGCCATGAAGTTCTTAGCAAGAAAGGAAAAGGACAGAGGTCAGAAAAGAATTAAATGTGTTTCTGTTTAAGTCATTTAAACAGAATGTAATATCTTTTAGTAATATATCTTTCAGGGGATCATATGTTGGTTTACCAATTATAATGACCTGCTCCCTGGCAGCAATGCAACCTGAAAGGACAGCGATGCTTTAGTGCACAAACAAGCAAGGACAATTTTAGTACCTCAGAGTCTTGATGCAAAGGTTGTAGAACTTATCACAGTTTGAAAGTCTCACTTCATCTACTTTCAATTTAAAGTCCCAAATAACCTCTTATCTGGGACGCTCCTTTAATAAGAGAATCAGCACAGGGGCTGGAATGGAGGGGGTAAGAACCAGTCTACCCAGAACATTAAATCACTGTCTCACCCATTATCTGTAGTGTGATCTTAATTGATAAAAGATTTAATTGCATCTTAAATGAAGCCACAGAAACAATGGCAATGCGACTTGTTTATACTCTGAGAACAATATTCTGTGTCCCTGCATTAGCAGCGCATACACAAGACGCTCTCAGAGGTGAATGGCTGAGGAGGGCTTTGGAGATGTTATCCACTCCAGTTTAATTGCTTTGAGACTAATCGTCACAAACAGGCACAAAGGGTCCCTGTTAATGTCGGCACCTTTTCAACAGAAAGCACCAGACTATTTTTACTCTATTGAAACTTCATATGGAAGAGAATATTTTCCCTGCATTGGGGGTGCTCTCTGATTTTATTTTAGGCTGGCTCGAATACTGTGTTAGAAACAGTTAAGAAATTACTATAGTGTGACTGAAAACAAAGGTCAGAAAGAAATTTAGTTAACATCCCACAAAACGATGTTAAGATGTTTATTCTGCCATTTTCATTCACTGAACGTGAATAAATTTACAGTTTCATGCCACACGGACAGAAACAGACAAATGACCTATTCTCTTTCCAACTGGCTGTATCACAGCATGGCAGTGTGGGGCACACTAGCAGTTGTACTTTGGAACATGATCCACTCGAATCCTTAACAAAGGCCTTATTGAGCTTTTTTGGACCAGCAAGCCACTGGAAAAATGACATGGAAGAGAGGCCGAATGGCTTCCTCTTGCTTGTTACCTTTCTGAAGTCTTTACAAGAGTGGCTCTCGAGAAACCTATGGAGATATTTCTGCCTGTTTTTGCACAAAAAGCTCACCGACAGCCTGACGTGTTGCAGGCAGTCTCCGCTCAGCTCTACAGAGGTGGGTGCTGCCAGTGTGAGTTATCCTGACAGACCCCGGGCACGGCTCCATCCCGCTCTCCCCCACGCTCCGTTCACCAGCTCCTCCTGGCCTCTATTGAGCCCCCCTTCAGTCCAGCACGTGTCCTTTGGGCCTGTTTCAATCCCACACGGGGACAGGGTGGGATGCACACAGACACAAACTGTACATCAATCATGTGATATTTCAGCACTGCATAAAACTAAACCTGTTTTTTTTTTTAAATAAAACGTACCTGAATTATTTAAATTTTATTTTTCCATTCATCCAGCCATATTCTAACCACTGTTTCCAGGATTCAGAGTCACAGAGGAGCTAGAGCCTATCCTGGCGAGCATCAGGCCAAAGACAGGGGACATCATGGATGGAATGCCAGTCCCAAACTCCACAGATAGCACCCCAGGTCAGGAATTGCTAACCACTGTGCCACCATGCCATGCAACTTTATACTTATTAGTCACAATTTGTGATTTGGGGGGGAATTGGCTGGAGTTCAGAAATATGTTTTTTTTTTTTTACATATTGCATTGTTAATATTAAATACTATGTTTGTGACCATTTTCAACACATGTCTAAAGCTAGGAGAATAATCTCTGAAGAAATGAACATCTGCTCTGTAACTAACACTGAACCCTGATACTGAAGTTTAGCACCTGGAGTTTTATTAGTTTTATTAGACATTATGTACGTGATTAAACAAACTCAAGCAAACATTTTTTTATACAATGCTAAGTTTAAATATCCTGTCGATTTCAAGGGTTTTTTTTCTTTAGTAACAGATGTGAGATGTATAAACAAATGCCATGTAAATTATTTTTGCTATTTTGACAGTACTACTGAACAACTAACAAGCTGCAAGAACAAAAAAAAACCCTTAGAAGCATTGTATTGATGAACATATTATCACAGAGATAATATCACCCACAGACCCAATAGAGGTCTGATTTTTTCTCCATATACTGTAAAAAACTATATTCCTATCATTTGATTGGAAGGAAGCATACAAATAAGCTACAATAAGCACCTTTCAGGGCTATGGTGTGTTCTTAAGAGCAATCGTCATAAATTTTACAAGAGAGTTGAAAGGAAGAAATGTACTAATGCACAATACTAATGTGTCTAGGGAGAACACTCACATTACTCACATGTATCATACTCAAGGTGGTGGTTTGTGATCCTCTCGTCTGTAACTGGAGCCCCAACTTGGAAGAGTCTGAAGCAGGGGACAGAAGGGTGGGAAAATAACTCAATGGTACCTCAAGGAATAACAATAAATAAATACATGTCAACTTATGGAACATTAAGTCAAAAGCCGCCCCATTCAGAATTCTGCCAATATCAAGTTCTTTCAATTTCTAATTTGCCTGAGACAAGAAAATGAGACAAGAAAAATATAGGTAGCTGTTCAATTACATGGGTGTCTTTCTTTTTAACTTGCTTTCTTAATTGTTGCTATTTCTATTATAACTATTAAATTTGATTTGACTTAATTTGTTTTTTAGAAGTTAAAAGTTAAAAGTTGTTAAAGTTGTAGGGCAGGAAATGACACAGATATTGCATACCTCCTGTAAATTAAATCCTATGTCAATGGTCCAACATTAATCTGGACTCCCAGTACACTTTTTTGCAATTATTATTATAGCAGAAATTTTAGCAATCCGTGCTGTGTTGCAGCACTTTAGGAGACAGAGTTCAGGACATATAAAATTGGCTTATGAACTGTGGCATAATCATCAGGATTTACACAAAGTCCCATGGAATGCTGCTCTTGTACTCTGGAGCAAGATACTGTAATTCACTGACATTGCTCCATTAAAGTGCCCTGTTATATAAATTATACACTCCATGTTGTTGTTGTGAAGGATGTCTGTTCTCTTTTGATTAACCTGATTAAATAACGCGACATAGTTTGCTCTAACCCCCAACTGGTGACCTTTTGAGCTGTCTTTTAAGATGTTAACAGATAGATTATAGCTCATTCATGCACAATGCATATTATAGCACATGCAACAAGAAAATATCAAAACAATTCAATGGTCCCTACTGTACCTCATATTCTCAAATTTCTATTACTCTAACAACTGAAAAAGGAATCAGCACTGTTGTATTGACAAAAAGGACTTGGTGCAATCTGACTGTGTCAAAAAAAAAAAATGTTACTGTCATTTTTGTTTTGAAACCGTTTCTCTCTCCAGCATGTGTAGATCAGCTATTGCCTCCTAAATCACAGCAATTTCTGATCGGTTCATAATGCACTTGCCTGTCATTCACCGTCACAAAGACAGGATGTAATAAAGGCTATTAAGGTTCACAGATAACTGAATTACATCCAGTAACATAAGCCTCGCCCCTGCATTGGGGCTGGCATTTCGCTTTTGTGCTTTTTAGTTTTAATTAAGGGAGAAGTGTGCACTACGAGCTGTATCTTGAAGGAGAGTTAAGAGAGGGCTGATTGGAGGCCAGAGATAAGCATGCTTCTGACAGAGCCCAGGGCCTTGTAAACTAAGGAGACTGCTTGCCTGCTGCAGCAGTGGTTCACCCTCCTCTCCCAGGAGACATGTGCACTGCTAAATAAAGCAAAGCAAGCACAACAACAGCGGCTGCATACTTTTTCCCCTCTGCCCTACTTATTCGCAGTAGCCCAGAGTTCTATACCAAAATAAATGCATCACATTTAACACATTAATTCAGGATGATGGGCTTCCCCACGAGTTTTCCATGATGGTCTGTTTTCAACTGTCCACATCCAGAGTTTCCCAACGTCTTCTAGGGTATTTCTTGCCTCTTGGGATCTTCTCTGGTACTCATGTGGTCCAGCGATGCTCAGTTCTTGTAACAATGCTTATTGCCCATTAAATTTCTTTGCTATCATACTGATGACAATGTCTACATATATATAAAGAGAGACAGACCCTGGTGAAGTACAGGCTCAGTGACCTCAGACTGGCTCTAGAAGCTGAGTGACACCAGGGGCAGACGTGGTTGACCAGCTGAGAGACAGAGGTGACAAACACACAGAGCTACACTTTCTGCTACACTGTGAGATGTGATTCACAAAGGATGCAACAAGTAGTTTTCACAAAATATCTATAACTTATATCAAAAAACTATATCCCTTAATGCATTGCCTTCCCAGACTTGATGTAGGTAAATATGATGCTAAGCAAAGACATGGTGCATGGAGGAGACTACGCAGTATGTGGCCTCCTGTCACAGCCTGTGAGCGAGAGAATGACACTATCAGATTTACACAGCCTGGTCCAAATACATTCCTGGGCTGGATTTCATTTAATCTATTCTCTTTTCTGTTGTGCACTGTAAGGGGAACAAGTGATCACGACGTTAATATTGCATGTTATTGTTCATTATCTGGATGTTTCTGATTTTTTCTTGGCTTTATTTTTTCTTGTTTCTGAAAACATTGGCCTAGGCCACACTGTAAATGCTTCTATCAATTAGACAAAACTGGATAATTAAATAAATGAGCTTCTGCATGCCAATTCAAATGAAGCAGAGATGCAATTAGAAAAAGTAATCAGAATAGAATGCTGCACTAAGGTGAAACAGAACAAATTCAGTCCAAGTAACATTTTAAATTGTTCTGTGAAAGGTTCTTCTTTGAATGGGAAAATTGCAGATTTCAAATCATTCCAATTACACAAGACAGAGAAGTCGTAGCATAGTGTCGCCCTCCTGCATTCACAGGAAGTTAATTACTATCACTGAAAATTGCATTTAATGAGAATCTGGGCCTGACGCAGGCACTTTTGTAAATTGCTCTCAGCTTGAGGTCCAAGGCAGTTTATTTTTTGGAGAGGACAGGGTCAACAACGCAGGCCCTGGGGTTAGCAGATTGAAACAGGCGTCTTTTGTCTGCTTTGTCCAAACTCTTTCCAAACCGCGTTCGTTTCCCAGCAGCCCCACTGAGATGAGCCCATGTGGTCCATGTCTTGTCTATTGTGTGCCCTGCTGTCTGCATGTTGCCAACCCCCCCAGCCCCTGCTGATAATTTTGCTCATCGTTTCCAGGAGGTGGTACAGGCAATTAAGCTAATCCATTAACAACTAATTGTTCCCTCCTACCCTGTGCCTTAGACAAACACTGTCGTGAGATAGAGAAAGGGCAGATCGGTCTATATAAGCCAGTGTTCTTTGGTCTGCCAGCCAAAGGCTACTGAGCTGCGTGAGAGGAATTCCTCAGCACCAGTTGGGATCTTAGCTCTCACATTCTTCCTCCTTCATCTTATTTTGCTTTACCGGGATAGAAATCCCGCAGATATTCTCTAACTCTTTGTGTCACTGCGAAGGGTTGCTTCCGGAGTCTGGAAATGTGCCGCGTTCCTGGGACACTGCACATCTGCCTGGCGGCTGTCTGTCTCACCTTGCCTTCAGTAAGGGGCCACATCTGGGCCTGGATGCTGTCGATCCCCTACAGCCCCCCTCAAGAAGGAGCACTTGTCCCTCAAGACACTACTCCCTCCTCCAGCGCCAAAAGCTCAACGGTGAGTCTGTCTGCTTCACTTTGCCTGGTTATTTCAGCTGCATCTCTCAGCCTTCCAGCTCTCTACTGTTATTTACACGTCTTTGTCAATTTTCTGAACAAAACTCACAGTATTTTCATTAATCCAGCAGCACTTGTATGTTTTTTGTAGTTATTGCATTCTTTTTCTAAATGAATGTCTATATTTGAGAAAATGTATTGCAAGTATCTGAATTACAGCTCACAAGCGACTCAATAACAGACACAGGACAGTAAATTAAAATGCACTAAATCTGGCTAAATCTGCCCCTACACCACAAGGCTTGCTTCCCCTAATGAATAAAGTTCAAAACATTCCTCAAACTTTTTTGTATGAAGGCTTTGTGAATATGAACCTCCAGTCAAATGTTGATGTTTGGTGAAGCACAAGAGGCTGTTTGCTTATCCCGCTCTCCCAGGGAGCAACCAATTAACAAAGTTATTTGTTTTGCCTGGTAGCAAATTGAAATACAACAGCTGCAGATAAACAGCAGTCTGTGTGCCAAAGACAGTTAAGGTTATCTATAGAAGTACGTTCCAGATCACTCTTGTGAGCCAAAAGCCTCATTCCTTAGCACAACAAAACATATTTCATGATTCTAAGTTTAATGGTTCATTTGCAAAAGTGCTCCCAAGGGGCTCTCATCTCTTCCTAATATATATCTATTTCAATGGTTTGAGTGCTGAGTGCACTATTTGCTACAATGCCTCAGGCTTCACTGACAACTCTGTTACCAGCTCTTCAACACAGATACAAAGACATCTTTAAAGGCATTTAGAGTTTAAAGAGTTACTCTACTTTTATATAAACTGAAGTCTTCATCTATGTCTGATACAAGCTTACTTTTTTGGCAAATTCCCATGATCTCAAAACAGCATGCACTGGAATTGCTATAAATTACCTGATTAACTTTGGATAATTAAATTCTAAATTTATTTAGATAAATAAAATCTAAATTCCCTCAAGCAATAGGAAATGAGATAGGGACTGAGGTGCCGATATAACCCTCCTGAATCCTCACTCTTCCTCAAATCAACGCAACGTCACAATCCAAAGTCCTACAGTGGAACTTCACGAAACCTTAAGAGCTTTTACGTAAAGAGTGATGACCCTCTCTGAGGGGACAGTGTTTGTGTTAGTGCAGCACAGTGCCTGCTGACCAGGTCGATGTGTGTCTCTCTCAGGCGGTGTGTGATCATGACCGGACCTGTGGGAGGGGGTTCTCCTGTGACCGGCACTTCGGCCTGTGTGTCCCCCTGAAGCACGCTGGCCAGTACTGCAGGAGGGACGCCCAGTGTCTCCGCGGCCTGAGCTGCATGTTCGGAAAGTGCCACCGCAGCGTCCCAGAGGGCCAAGAAGGTACGACGGCCGACTGTGTCGGGCTTCGCTCTCTCGGGGAAAACACTCCTCTGTCGTCGGCAGCAAGCAGTCAGCCCATCAGTGGGAAGCCACTGCAGAGTAAAAGGAGAAAAAGCAATCCATTTTTTAATTTGAAATGCTTTAACAGTGTTTTTCAGCTACACACAAAAAACATGTTTTAAAGTTACCTCTTGCATAGCAAAGTACATACAACACACAGATGTGAATATTGTTTTTAGTACCAAGACCAACTAGGGGAAAGAGGCTCAGTGCTGCCTTTACCTAGCCTAGAGGATGTACAAACACATTGCTTTTCTAAGTGAGAGGCCGAACAAAAACGAGGAAGACAGAAATGTTTAAGCATTCCCAAACGCTCTTCTACTTTGTGAGCGGTGATGACGGTAACTCCAGAGAGCACCGTCTCCTGGGCAGAGTGTTCCTCTGTGTTGCTGCTGGAGAGGCCCGGTGTAGGTGTGTCACTGAGATGCCCTGTTCTCTCCCCCTGCCCAGGCGCGCGGTGCAAGCTGGACCGGGACTGCGGCAGCTCCATGTGCTGCGCGCGGCACCACGGCGAGAGCATCTGCAAGCGCCGCCTGCCGCTCGGGGCCAGCTGCTTCGTGCCGGACGGCGGGCTGGCGTTCAGCATCAACCAGATCTGCCCGTGCGACGAGGGGCTGCTGTGCCGCCAAGCAGCTGCGAACGCCAGGCGAGAGTAAGAGCCGCGGAGTCTCCTATTTCCAGGCACGCCGCTCTCGGCAACAGGAACTGTGTCAGCAGCTCTTTGCTAAAACTACAGCTGAAAACCTCTTGTCTGATCCTTAAGGCCGTCTCCGTCGCATTTTACCACACTAGAGCACAGTCAAAACAAAAAAGCTACAGATATCCACCAGAGTGCTCACAGTACATGGGCTCTGCTTCTAACATCTCCTCTAGCACAAGAACTTGACCGATCTCAGGACAGCCACAGATTCCAGGTCGTCTTGACTCTCTGAAGGGTTGACAGTCTTCAGAAATCTTGCCACAGAAGTGACAAACAATAGGAGGTCGTTCTGGTTGAGTTCACAGGGGGGGCACCCCGCCTTAAAAACAGCACCTCTTGATCAGTGATCAAAAAAGCTCTAGGCCTGACAGCATTTCTAAGCAACACCCACTCCATGAAAACAGAGTCACGGCTTCTCAAAACAAAGGCAAAAATGAAAAACTTGGCCATCAAACATTATAAATATGTGTGGGTTTCCGCTTAGATATAAACTTTTGCAATCTGCCTGTTTTATTCTTCTTTAATTATTTAACTGCCTGGCTGAAAAAAACCTCTGTAAAATGCCCTTGATAATTTATTCTTTCTCTGTTTTCTACAAGGAAAGAGTTTGTATACCGTCCTGAACCTGAGAACTGGAAATGCCAAGCACCACCTGCCTGAAGACTTCCACCTCCCGCCTCTTCAACAGCCCCTATTTATTCTGTAAATTAAATGTAAATACTGGGACTTAATGTATATTATATGAAAAATCCTATATTTGTATGGCACACTTTGCCAATGTACAATATATACTATATATGAAGAAGTTTTTTATTCTCTGTTCTGTACATAGTTATTACATGTGAAATTAAACTTGAAAAGAAAAGTAGTCTTGTTGTTTATTAATTTACAGTCCTGCAATGAAGGGATTTAAACCCACAGCCTGTACAACATCCAGCCATTTTCTAACCAGCTCTTCCAGTTCAGGGTCATGGGGGAGCTGGAGCCCCTACCAGCAAGCAATGGACACAAGGCAGGACACACCCTGGACAGTCCATCAAGGGCACACACACTCCAACCACGGCCAACTTTCCCAGAAGGTCATTTTAACCTGTGTCTCTGGGTTTTGGGAGGAAAGCAGAGCACCCAGAGGAAACCCACACCAACATGGAAAACATGGTAACCCACACAAAAACCACGTAAAGGGTTGACTTAGGTCTCTTTCACAAACAGTAAGGCCTTAAAACTTTAGAAACAAAGGGGGAAAAACAAAAACAGGATTTCAGCCTTTTCACCATATGAGCACAGATGCCTTCTTGCGCAAAGGAAGTCTCACCTGAAATCTAAAATCTGTTCTTTGCAGCGCTTTAGTATAGCACTCAGGCTAGAAGATGACTGCTCTGTCAACCTTAATTAGCTACAAAAGAAAGAATATCTACAGAACCATTATATTTGACCCCCTAAAGAACTATCCAGACCAGGTTTCGTATTGGGGTGCACCATGAGGTTAGAAGGCCATTTATGGGACAGGGACATCAGTGTGCAAAAAGTTTGGGGGAACAGACTTGGTTTAATTCTTAATTAGGTTTACAGTATTTCAATATCAGGTCTAGGACTCCCCTACCTCCTCTTACTTTTAGTTGTAGACATTTCTGTCCAAGAAACAGGCTTTGTCTCATTATTCATTCTTGATCCAGGGGTACGTCATTTGAAACGTGACAGGAAGACTTTTGTTACTCTGAATTCGACAGGAAACCATACTAAAGCTATTCAGATAAGTATTAAATAATGTATTTGTTTGGGGTTTTTCGTTTTATGTGTTTTCCTAATAATAGGGACCCTGTCCGTCTGGAAACCGGGTGGATGGTAACGCTGATAATATCAGTAATACTCTACTTAAACCAAGGCCCGTTACCTTATTTATCAAGACGGTGGCCATGCTTCGCCTCAGTTTAAATCAGAGTATGGTCTTGTTGATTGTGAGACACGTACAATATACGTATCTCCAGGGACACCCATCATTATTATGTGCGTTAGAATCGTAAGTGCAGACTACAATTCGTCGATTACGAGCCGAGGCAAAATTACACTTGAAATGAGCAAGTCCTAAATTATCTACGTCCCGAATTGGACAAGAAAACTGTCAAAGTTTTACTGGAAGATAAAGACAAAATGCGCCCTCCATCACATCTTTGACGTCCACGTTAACTTTCTTTCTGTTCCAGGAGGTGGTACGATAACCTCATACCTTCGTCCTTTTTTTTTTTCTTTTGTTGTTGTTGTTCTGTCGTGGTTTAATCCTCCGTTTTCTGACCTTTTCCGTCCGTCAAACCTCCAAAGTCTGCTTCCCGGCGTCTCGAGCCGCTACGGCTAGCCCACGGACGCCCGCTCGAGACCGCCGCCGCCGCCGTAGGTGGCGCGAGACCGCAGCTGAGGGTCTCTCAGTCGTGAGAGAAGCGGCAGTAAAGTGCTCGCGCGTGCGTCCAGGTAGCTGAGCGGTTAGCACGCCCGACTGCTGCACTAGCGGTGCCGGTTCGGTCCCGGCTCCTTCGAGAGTGTTATCTGCTCCCGTTGATATTTAGTAAAATGGTGTAAGTCGTTTAGCACCTTCATGAAAAAAGTGTTGCTTACGGGGATAAAAGGAATCAGTCTGGGAGTTTTAAACCTCTTTTAATTAAAGCAGAGGTACAGTACTATCAGCCACGTCTGAGCGCTCAGTTTATTTATATAAAGCACAACACTATGTTGTATGTGTTGTTAGTATATTAGAATCGCGTCCAACGAACGATTCGATATTAGAATGACTTAAAAAAAACGTGCACATTCTCTGCAACAGATCTCGCTGCCGGCGTCTGTCTTGTGCACGAGTGTCGCTCCTGTGTTGTCACGGGCCGTTGGTATTGTTCACGCAGATCACACACAGACGCCGGTGACTGCTGCGTCGGGGGTATAGCTCAGTGGTAGAGCATTTGACTGCAGATCAAGAGGTCCCCGGTTCAAATCCGGGTGCCCCCTGTGTCCTCTTGTCTTTTGGTTAGTTTGGTGTGTTGATCAAATTTGTAATTCCGTCTGACGGTACCAAGGCAGTATCTTGTCTTATTAATTTTGCTTTAAAAAAATCAGCCAGCCCTGTGTTAGGGGTGTCATTAAAACGGCGTCTTAATGGTGATCAAATTCTTCCCTTCAACAGCCTCAGCACCGTTTCTTTGGCAATACTGTCACCTTGCGGCGCCGGGGTACATTTCAAAACTTCCGTCATCAATAACACGGAAGTAAATATAACCAAGCGTGTGAGCAATATTTAATAATATTATAATATGTTTTGACCCAAACTTCCGCCTCACATGCCGAGTTTAATGATTTTTTACAAATCCTGTTTCGAGTGGTAAATTCAAACTTCCTTGCACCGCGTACGTAATCACACCTTAGTGATACAGGTCATTATATATGCATACGTGCAACGTCTTACAAGACTGTGAGGTACAGTTCAAACACGCAATGAAAAATAAACACTTTAGAACACAGAAAAGGGGGGTACTAGACGCTCTCGTATCTTCCAGACATCTGATGTACACTGTTCGGAAGCGGATAACGCGGTGCTTTCTGAAAAACGGAAATCAGCCTCCGGCGTGTTAATAACGGCGTGTAGTAATTAGTCAGCTGTTACAGCTTTCTGTAGGGGGAAGAGCAGTGCTTCTGTCGCAGATTTAACACTGTGGAGGAACTACAGGTAGCAAAGGTATGTGTGGGGGTATAGCTCAGTGGTAGAGCATTTGACTGCAGATCAAGAGGTCCCCGGTTCAAATCCGGGTGCCCCCTGTGTCCTGATTTTCTGCGTACTTCTTTTGTCTCTTTTCCTACCTATTAATACCATGTTGACAACACCAGACCTTGATGAATTATCCTTTTATTGCAAAGAGGAAGTGCAAATAATTTGTTCACACATAAAACACTGCAGCGAGACGAGATACCTGTACAGGTGAGATCACACTGAGGCAAAGGTGACAAAGACCCAGAGCAGTGTGGGGGTATAGCTCAGTGGTAGAGCATTTGACTGCAGATCAAGAGGTCCCCGGTTCAAATCCGGGTGCCCCCTTTGTCACTCAAACTTTTGATTAATAATAATTGCTTACACTTATATAGCGCTTTTCTGGACACTCCACTCAAATGGCTTTTACAGGTAATGGGGCTCCCCTCCACCACCACCAGTGTGCAGCCCCACCTGGATGATGCGACGGCAGCCATAGTGCGCCAGAACGCTCCCCACACACCAGCTCTCAGTGGGGAAGAGAGCAGAGTGATGAAGCCAGTTCAGAGAGGGGGATTATTAGGAGGCCATGATTGGTAAAGGCCAGTGGGAAATTTAGCCAGGACACTGGGGTTACACCCCAACTCTTTTCGAGAAAAGCTCTGGGATTTGTAATGACCACAGAGAGTCAGGACCTCGGTTTTACGTCTCATCTCGTTTATGAAATGTGTCCTGTAAGTACATGGATTGATTGTCTTACTAAGATACTGTAATACTGCTTAAAACAATCAGCCAGCCCCCTGTTTAGGGTGACTGGGTTAGTGCAAATCAAGGTGCCTCCCGCATGATCATATCCTGTATTTACTTCATTTGTCTCTTTTAACCTATAAATCCCTGTTTGACAATCCCAGATTCCTTTTTTGCACTGTATTGAGGAACTGCAAATGATATGATGGCACATAAAACAAAGTACAGGAATTCAACAGCTGTGTAGGTGAGATCACACTCACCCAAGACAGCACACCATAGCCATGGGGGTAGAGCTCAGTGGTAGAGAGCATTTAACTGCAGATCAAGAGGTCCCCAGTTCAAATCTGGGTGCCCTGTCTGTATGTGACTTTTGTTTCCTATCTGTGAACACCATGTTGATGATTTTTTCCATGTATTGTCATATCATTTTAATGAGGTGCTACAAATCACCTGTACAGGTGAAGAAAGACCAAGGCTTATGGAGGTATAGCTCAGTGGTAGAGCATTTGATTTCAGATCAAGAGGTCCTCTGTTCAAATCTAAGTACCCCCCCCCTCAGTCCCGTTGTGTTTTTGTTCTGCTATGCCATGCATTGTCTAACCATTAAGGTACATAATTAACAACCACATACAAATCACTACAGCCTTCTACAAGATCATGCCAAACTGTCATCACTTCTGCCGCAACATACAACAACGAAAATGAAACACTGAGATTTCAGCAAAAAAAGAAATAATTACGACAACCACTGACATAATCCCTTTCCCTGACTCAGGGGAAACCACTGACCTCCAGAGGCCCTGTGGAAAAAACAAACTCTGTGCACAGACGCAGCAGGCAGGGTCTGTGATAATGTGCAAACAGGCCGGATGTGATGCTGGCTGTGGTTAGTATCTGGTGGCTGTTC